GGTTCAATTCCTATGATAGGGTGTTAATTATTAGTAATTTTATTGTTAATTTTCCCTTTTATCCTTGTCAAATATTGCTCTAATTATTAATATTTACTTATATTTGGTATTGGACCTAATTTCAGGGAGTGGAGCAGAAAAGTACAAAAAGGAGGGACTCTCTGAAATAAAATGGAAGACTTCTAAACACTTCACAAGCCTAGCCCACGTTGCTGAGAAGAAACGGATTCCCAGTTCCCTTTTGGCTGACTAGGAGTCCTGCCACCAAGAGAAAAAGGAAATACAAGGAATCTGGCAAAGTTTCCTCGTTGTACCTGGACTCCCAATCCATGGGGACCACGGGAAAGCATTGAGTCAATTTTAGCTTTGGAAGGAAAGAAACGTAGGGAGCTTTGGCTATTGCTTGTTCCTTATCCGGCGGGACCACGGAGAGAAGTGAGGCAATTTGTTTTAGATTAGGAAACAATTCTTTTCCTTTGGTTAGGCAATTATCCACGGGCCGCTGCTTTATCTTTGGGGGAATTGGGGAGTTTTTCCGGGGGTTTTTTTACTCTATCGTTTTTCCTGATCTCAACTTCGGTGACAATGGCCGCAATTACCCATGCAATTTTGCATGGGATTTCCTCCATGAAGATGAACTAATTCATTTTTTCTAGTCAAGAACAACGGAGGATTTGGTTCGACTTAAATTGTGAGATCTAATCGATTTTAGCTTTCCTATTATTTTCTGGTATTCGTCTATCTTCTGCTTTATGTTCATATGGTTGTTTTATTATTCGATTATCCAGGGCCCGGATTCTAGATTAATTCAATAACCTGAAGCCAATTAGGGTAGTTAAATCCGTAATTGTTTAATTATTCTAAACTGGTGGCAACTGACATGATTGGGTTTGTGTCAGGGAGATAGACATGCTAACTTAAAGAGACCCTCGTAGCGTGTTGATTGGTTAGAATTAGGCTCTTCTAATTATTCATGCAATTAGGGAATTGAACTTCTATGGTCGTACCTAGGGTTGTTTCCTGATTAGAGAAATAGTCAACGGTCGTACCTTGGCTATCGACAAATTGAGGAAGAGTTGGTTGTTTATCGCATATATGACAACTATAACTAATTTATCAGATAGTAACTGGAATAATCCTTGCATCTGTGATCGAATTAAGTGAACCATCTCCGAAGTTGTCTCTTGGCTAGAGTTCGTACATTATTATTTTTATTGTGATAATTAGTTAATTAAGTTGTAATTATTTTATTTTATTTTAATTTATTCCAAGTAATTTAGTTACTCTCATTTTCAAAAAAATCCCCCATACTTCGGACTCTAAAAGAAATAAATTATCCCCAATCCCTGTGGATTCGACTCTACTTATCACTATCTACAGAAATTATATTTTATTTAAGCAGGTATTTATTATTGCACAGGTTCGACACCCTGTCAATTTTTGGCGCCGTTGCGGGACTGGTGCCAGATTAATTTGTTTCTTTTTGAATTCATCTTGTTTTTATTTTTTTATTTAGTTTTCTCTTATTTTTTTTATATAGTTTATGGTTTCTAACACTCCGTATTTTGGTGATAGATTGGATTTTGTTTCCAGAGAAGGCAATGAGGCTTGTTTTTTTGCTAAGTTTGCATATTCAGAGGCACTAAACTCTATTAGAGAAAGAATGGCTGCTGCAACCTGTAAAATTTGTTATGCCAGGGATCATTCAACCGGTATGTGCCCCGAATATCAAGATAATTTGAGTGCCCCACTCAATAATTATGGAGATTTTTCACCCTGGTCTCAAACGTGGTATAACCCTAATCCAAACGGGTATGATCAAGGATGGTGGATAACTCCAATTATAATTATACGACAGGGCCAATGAATTTTCAGCAGTATGAGTCTCAAGAATCATCATCTATGTCAGGTATGTCTCTTGAAGAAATAGTTGAATCAATAGCTACTAATACATATCAATTCCAACAGGAGACACAAATGAGAAATGGGATGATGAAGGATGCAATGAGTAATCTGGAAGATCAAATATGTCTATTGACATCCGGAATAAATCGATTGGCTTCTCAAATTGAAGAATTGCCCTCGAAAACCATTGTTGATTTTGAAGAAAATGAGAGTGCAATTTCCTTGACTAGTGATGAGGAGATGCAAGAGTGTCAAAATCAGAGATCTACAGATGCAGTTGAAAAAAAAGCCGAAGAGGAAGAAATGGAACCCCAACCGCAACCCATTCAAGTGAAAGAATCCAGTGAAGAATCATCAAATGTGGTGACACCACCTCCATTCCCTAACCGCATTTTCTTAACTCTTACTCTATGATTTCTGTTAATGAGATTGATTTTGTTATACCGGAAGTTTTTGAGTCTCATGGCAGAAATAAGTTAAGAGTAGCTATTGTCAAATATCTTGAACCGTTGAGTGTTCTTGATGGAGGAGTGGATGAAGAATTGAGATCACTGCCTGATTATTTGGCGCCATCTACTAGTCCAAGAAAAATCGTAGCTCGTGTGCTCAAGGATTACTCTATTTACGAGGGTTATCAGGACTATATAAAGGATGAAGTATTGAAACGAGGCACAAGATTTTATTCTTCCTGAGCAAAGATGACAATGTCTAGCCAAAGACATTAAAAAAAGGCGCTTTTTGGGAGGCAACCCAAATATTGATGTTATTATTTTTCATTGTTCATTTTTTTTCGTTTTTTGTTTCTCAGTTGAGTAGTAATCGGTCTTCATATTTTTCTCCACTGTGGTAAGAAGTGCAATTTTGGCGTGACCACGCGGTGTTTGTGTCTCTTGAGATCAGTGGACGTTTACCAATCTTAGCGTGCCCACGCGGTGTTTGACGACCCAAAACCTAAAAAAAAAAAAAAAATTTTAAAAAAATTAAAAATTTCACATTGCGAAAATTCAAAAATTCAAAAAAAAAAAGAAAAAACATTTTTTTTCTTTTTCTTCAAAAATTCAAATTTTGAAAATTTAAGTTCATAAAAAAGAATTTTTTGAAAAAAAAAACATTGAAAAAAAAAACCCAAAAACTATATATATATATATATATATATATATATTTTTTCCCCTTTTCTTTTTCTTTCTTCCTTTCTTTTCTTTCTTTCCTTTCCTTTTCTTCTTCTTCTCCGCTGTTCCCCTGTTTTCCACTTGTCCTTCTCTTCTTTCGTTTTGTCCGCCGCCGCCAACCTCGTGTTCACCAGCTCCACCTCCGCCTCGATAGCACCGCGCGCCGCCTGAAGCTCGCCGCAGTTGCTGCTCGTCTCCTCGCGCGACACGAGCTGCGTGCACCGCCGCCCCAGCTCACTTTTCTCCTTCCCTCTCTCCACTTTACCCACAGCCCACGGCCGTGCCTGCCTCCCTACTGCGCGCCTCCACCTCAGCTCGTCCGCCACCAGATCGTGCGACCATCACCAGCTCTCGGCCAGGTCGCACGCCACCAGCGCGCGAGCTCGCGCTCTACCAGCCGCGCACGCCGCCGCCCCTGTTCTCCCTTCGCGACGCCACCAGCAGCCGCGGAGCTACCCGCCGTTCCCCTCACTCTCCCTTTCGAGCTCGCGCTCTACCAGCCGCCGCTGCTCACGCCACCCACAGCCACGCCCTTCCCACCTGTCAAAATTGACAGGTGGAGGTATTGAATCTTCAACCTCGATTAGTATTTTTCTGGTTCTTCTATTGCTGGAATTTGAGTTTTTGTGTTTGGGTTTCTTGATGGATAAAAGAAGGTGTTGATTTGGGCATTTTCTAGGGTAAATTTTGGACAGATTTGAGTTTAATTGCTGCCATATGTGGGGATATTTTCTGATATTTATTGAATTGTTGGCCGTTTGATTTAATTCCTCCCTGTGTATACACCAGTGGTACTGGTTGTGGTGTTACTTTACAATTCTTAAATTTTCTCGAATTCTAATCGGTGGTTGCTGGAATTGCCTGTTTGCTGGGATTCTTAAAATTCTTAAGGTTTGGTCGCTTGAAGTGGGTAATTGAATGTCCAATTGGTGACATTTGTTGCGTTTCACTTGCTCCAATTGGTTGAATTCTTTGCTCTGTTGGGGTCCCTGTTGGTATCACTTGAGTTCTGCTTTGTTAGTTTCTGTATCGTGCCCCTTGATCTTATTTTGACTGAATTGGAGACCCAGTGCATATTCATTCAATTTGCTATGTTGCTAGGGTACTTTTCTAGCCTTTGGGGTGCCTCGGTTGTGCATTTTATTAAATTGGGTTGGCCATGTGGTTCCCTTCTTTCCTGTGCATGCACCAGTGGTACCGGTTGTGCTAATTTGCTTGCCATTTCTTATATCGATATGATTGAGCATCTGTGACTGAGTACCCTTCGATCTTGCTGCTTTGTTGGGATCGTTTGTGGTGTCAATTGAGTATCATTTGGTACTTTCTGCCTGGAGTCTATTGAGCTGCCTTTGGTTGGGGTTTATTGCATTTAATTGGTGCATTGGACGGCTCTTGTGCCATTTCCGTTGCTTATTGCAGTAGGTTGCCTCTATTTGCCTTGTGTGGGAGTATTTTGTCCTTTTCAGTTCAATTGCTAAGCTCATTGGAGCACTTGCAGTGATTTTGAGTTGCATTATTTCTGCATTAATCTTAAATTGTTCAATTCCTACGTCCATTGGCGAGTTAAAGAACTTTCATGGAATTGGAGTCTTAAGTGTTTGACGATCGATGTAATTTCACTTTGACGATCGATGTAATTTCATCAGCTGAATGCTCAGGAAGTAACACGGATATGTTTTAATAGAAATTATTATGATCTACTGGATACTATATAACCTGTATCCCAAGATTCCCCACTTTCCTTTCTGCAAAATCTATAGATATTTGGGAGAATGAATCTTCTTCCTCTTCGCAACTGCAGCAACTTAATCTATCCAATCACCAGTCTTTCTTCTCTTTACCTTCCATTCTTTGCCTCCTATAGTACAAAAGAGTTTCATACACAACAAGAGCTAGAGAAACAAGCTGAAGAACAGCAGAGAGAAGACGGGCAACGACTGAAGCAAGAAGCTTCACTTGTGTCCCCAGCCAGAATTCAGAAGCTAATAGCTTCCCAGTCAGACCCTCTTCTTGCTAAAGAAATCTTCGACTTAGCTTCTCGTCAGCCCAATTTTCATCACTCGTACGCGGCATGGCATGTCCTCATCCTCAAACTCGGCCGCTCTGGCCACTTCTCTCTCATGCAGTCCCTTCTCTCCTCCTTCAAATCTCAGAATTATTCCATTTCTCCTTCTCTCTTCTCCCAAATTATCAAAATTTATGGTGATGCTGGGCTGCCTGACGAAGCCCTGAAAGCATTTTACTTGATTCTCAAGTTTAATATCAAGCCTCTTCCCAAACACCTCAATCGCATTCTTGAAATTCTTGTCACTCGCCGTAACTTCCTCAGCCCTGCTTTGGACCTGTTTAAATCTGCTCAGAGATACGGGGTCTCTCCAGATACCAAGTCTTACAACATTTTGATGCGTGCTTTTTGCCTGAATGATGACTTGAGTGTTGCATATTCCCTGTTCAATCAAATGTCCAAAAGAGATGTTGTTCCTGATGTAGAGTCATATAGGATTTTGATTCAGGGGTTCTGTAGGAAGAGTCAGGTTAATAAGGCTGTTGAATTATTGGAAGATATGTTGAACAAAGGATTTGTTCCTGATGCTCTAAGCTATTCTACTCTTTTGAATCGTTTGTGCAGGAAACAGATGCTCAAGGAGGCTTATAAGCTTCTATGCAGAATGAAAATTAAGGGATGCGATCCTGATCTTGTTCATTACAATACTATTGTTTTGGGGTTTTGTAGGGAAGGCCGTGCTTTTGATGCTTGTAAGGTTCTTGAAGATATGCGATCCAATGGGTGCTTGCCAAATTTGGTGTCTTACCGAACATTAGTTGGGGGTTATGCAGTCAGGGCTTGTATGATGAGGCCAAATCATATATGGGGGAGATGTTTTTGCAGGGATTTTCTCCACATTACTCAATAGTACATTTGTTAGTTAAGGGATTTTGTAATATAGGCAAGTTTGAGGAAGCTTGTGCAGTTTTGGAGGAGGTATTGAGGCATGGGGTAGCTCCACATATAGACACTTGGATGGAAATGTTACCTAGAATTGCTGAGGTGGATGACCCTCAAAGTATGGGCAATACCTTGAATCAAGTTTTGAAGATGGAGATAAAACCTGACACAAGACTTGTCGATGCTGGTGCTGCTCTGGGTGAATACCTGGTTAAGAAAATAGGACATCGATCAACCAAGATATGATCTTCTTCTTCAGAATCAATGGATTGATCAAAATGTGTCAACTGAACATGAGGAAAGCTGCAGTTTTTCGTCACGGATGAGTACCTATTACAACTCAGCGCTGTCATTTTGTTATCTGAGTGTACCATGATAACTACAATTTGTGGTTGGTGGGCTATTGCTTTTTCCCAATGTGCCCATTATGATCTAATGGAGGGTGGTATTTCCACGACCAGAAGCCTAGGAGCCTCAGTGCTGCAATTGCCGTTGACAGACATGCTAGTACATCATCAGTTGTTGCGATTGCAGGATTTCGCAGATATTGGAAGAGATTAAGCAACTGCCTCTGGAATTGTTGTTCAAGGAATGTGATGCTTCATTACCAGCAAAGCCTAATAGCACAACTGCTTACGTCTGTTATAGGGAGCGATAGCAGCTGCTACATGGGAATGCTTCTTTCCAAATAGCCTGCTATGAGCTTAGTTCTGTCAAATAAATTCAACGTATCTTGAGTGCATGGCCATTTTCATGACCTGCATGGAATCTATTTTGGTGTCCAACAAAGAAGAGGACTAAGAACTATGGGTGGTCAAAACCCAGGAAAAAGGAAGCAGAGCAAAGGTCGGAAGGGCGCACTACTTGATGAACACTTTTTGGCTTCCCATCTTGCATTTTTCCTTCGAGATTAATTTTGATTTGCCTTTTGTTTCCTTTTTAAGACGATACGGACCCTTATCATGAGGACACCAAGACTATAATATGATCTTGGTAATTTTACTTCAGAACTACTTTCCTTCACCTAGAATTTATATGGATGATTTAGCTTTGCCAATATCAGATAGTAGGTCAATTTTAATCTGTCTATGCTGGTATACATCTTTAATACAATTTAGCTTGTAATATTGTGATGTAAGAAAGGCACCCTACAGGTTTACCATTAAACTACGAAACTTCTACAAAATATGGTGTCAGAACTGCAACTTTAAGCGCATCAAAGTATAATTCTTAAATAGCACGACTTCTATATAGTCAAAACTAAACCTTTTCACCAGAAATGGTGAAGAAATGGTGAAGCAGAAGCCATAGATTAGTTCATCTCCTATTGTTTCAACAGCTAGGATTTGCAAGAGCATCCGTAGCCCATTTTGCTTCTTGAAATTACAAACTGATTATGAAGGCCCTTGCTTCTTGAAATTACAAACTGATTATGAAGGCCCTTGAAAGGGTGACAATCCATTGAAGAGAACTAATCCTCCAATGCCAGCTAAACTAGGCATCCTATGTCACATACTGCTTTCAAATTATGCTGGTCCGTGAATAATAATAGGTGACTTTTTAAGTGCTACCGTTTCAGCCTCTGCCACTCAATTCAGCATAGTGTGATTTAAGACCACCTAACTTTGGCTTCTCGAGGCAGGGTCAATAACTCATTCAACTTCTTAGGTAAGGGATTGGCATGCGCAGCAAATCCTATGATCTTTCACTTATTATAAAGCCACAACCATGTTATCTGTCAGACTGCTCTCACATCAGGAATCAGGATTAGTACTTGATCCCTCTTAATCATTTCAAGATCCATGTAGTAATTCAGCCAAGCAATCAGTCAAAGATCAAGCCTCAGAAAGCAAGGAACAAATCTTAGATTTCCCAAGGATCCAGGGTTCTGCCAAAAATCCCGACAACAACCTGCTGATTAGCCACATGCCAGTGTGTATTGAGAGCTTATTTCCCTCTCAACCTCATGCTCTTCCGCTTCTGATTCAGTGCAAAACGTCGTGCCATAGCAGGGTTGTAGAATTTCCTCATATACTCTGATAGCCTGTGAATAGCTTGAAGATCACCAACCGCAGAGAGCTTCTTGAGAAAAGAATCAAATGTTCTGAATGGCAATTTCATTCCCCTTTTTACAACTTCTTCCAAAAGAAAGCATGCATCTTGCATGTTGTTAGAATCAAAAAGTCCTTCAATCATCACACAGTATGAATCAATGTCACGCTTACAACCCCTTTGATCCATCTCATGCCAAGTCTCAAAGGCTCCATCAATGTCACCCATCCGGAAAAACATTAAAATTAGCATATTAAAAGTCTGTACACTGGGAACACAACCCACGTTGATCATATTTTCATAAAGCCTAATTGCTTCTTTACTATCTTTATTGTCACAAAGAACCTTAAGAAAACAATTGTAAGTGACAATATCTGGAGGAAAACCCCCATTTCCCATTTCTTCCAGAAATTTATAAGCTGCCTCAATCTTTCCTCCCAAAAACATGCCTTCAATGACTTCCTTGTACGTGGAGACATCTGGAAGGCATCCACTGTCTATCATTTCCCTAACAACTTTAAAGCATTCCTCCATTCTATCGCTCTGGATAAGGGCCACAATGAGGATCGAGTAAGTTTTTGCAGTGGGAGAAGACATAGTTGTACCTTTTGTTCTCATGAATTCCAAAAGTTCAGTAGCCTCTGTCAGCATCCCTGCTCTGCAAAATGTATCCATGGCTGCAATATACGTAAAGCTATCAGGAGTATGCCCCATTTTAATCATTTCATCAAGTATGTTCATTCCCCTACTAGGATTTCTGACCCTGCACCATCCGAAGAACAAAGTGTTATATGTGTCAGCATTAGGTTTGATTTTACTTTTCACCCTCCTAAACATGGCTTCAGCATCCTCAACAAGACTACACTTACACAAAGCATCCAAAAGCAAATTAAAAGCGTTGATTTCCGGCTGTGTCTTCACTCTAATCTTTTTCTTCCTAGCAAATTTCTGAAGATGGGTCAAATATTTCTCAGTGTATTGCCTCAACATATTCAACAACACTTCAACAGGAACTGAATTCTTGTTGTTCCTCTTCATGTACTCTAGCATATCACAAACAATTCGAAACTGTTTGACCTTATATTTTGTACTTGATAATATATCCATCATCTCATTATATGCCTGAGGCTCGTGACTATAATGCTCCTGATGCCCGGCCCATGTAAAGAACCTAAAGGCTGTCTTCTCCTCATAACGAAGCCTATGCAACACCTCTACAACCATTGGAGTTGTCAGTTTGACACATGCTCTATCAAGAGCTTCCTCCATTTTAAACTCTGGTTTTGAATAATCTACCACTATTTTGTGCAACTTATCAGCAAAATTACCATCATCATCATTCATTTCTGTCACGGCAACATTTTCCAAAGTACAGAGCTGCCTAAACTGTCCTCCGAGAAGAATAGACAACTTCACATACGCTGAGAAATGATCAACAAAATCGGATCCCCCGCTGGAACAGATAAATGGGCTAGAAAGTGAAGCATGATGAACTGGAAAAAAGGGTGATACAGAAACTCTTTTATACCCGCGAAAAGAGATGAATTCAGAAAACAAATAGGGACAACGGATGAAGGGTTGTGATGAGCATACATCTTTGAAGCATCTATGACTTCTACATGATGTTAATGAAGTAGTTAACAGTTTTCGCCACATTGGAGAAAAATAACAAGGAACGTGACTAAAAGTTCTTGATACAGGTAAAAAGTTTCAACATGTACCATATAAATGGAGAACAAGGGAAGAGTCAAGGTAGAATAGACCAGTATTTGTCACTGAGACAAATTATCAAACAACTAGTAAGCTATTCTAACATCACACCTGAAGATACTCTTGGCAGGGTATATCTTGCAACCTCGGAGTAAATTGGAGTGTTCCAGAGTGTTGGGAAAGTGGGAAAGGGTCCAAGAATGATATCCGAGTCCGGACTGCCCTGTTCGCGGTCTAGGAGCTCAACAAAGAGGAGACGACGGAGGCTAATTGCTCAAGAGAAAGTCTTCAAAATTGCTATACATCAAGGGTACTTATGACTACTGGCTGAACTCTAAGGGTACTCGTGAAATTTCACCTAATAGTCGGGCTCTATGTGACAATTGCCAAAGCAAAATAAAAATAAAAATAAAACTGCAGGCAAAATAAATACTGGAGCAGTGATGGAGAGAAGCAGCGGCTATTGGAGCCTGGAGGAAAGCTATGGAGGCTGAGGAAAACGAACCCACAAGCCAAAGAACAAAAAGGGTCAGAAGGCAAGAGGTAAAACTTCCAACTTTTAATCCAAGAAAGAGCCCACAAAAGAAAGTTATGCATACTAATTGTGGGTTTTGTTCTTGACTGGGATTTATGAAGGCAGATATTGGAAAAAAAGAAGGCTGCGGATGACATAATCAGAGCTGCTTCTTCACAAAAGGATCATCTTTCTTCGTTTCCCCAGTATCGCCATTATCGCACAAATGGTTGGTTAGTTTTTTTTTTCCCCTGTTTATGCAAAGATTCCTTTTTTAATCTTCAATGTAGATTCTTCGAAAAATTCATCATATTTTCTAACAAATTCTATCTTTCAGCATTGAAATTGAGTACACATTGATGATCATTTGAATCTCTTTTCATAGCAGAAGCTTTATTTGGTTGTCCCTTTTGTTTCATTCTCTTGGCAAGTAGGTGATGACAATGCAATAATTGTTTCTGGTTCATTGTCTTAGCTAGTTTTTCTACTTCTTTTTCCCCCCTTTTTATAGATCAATATTATATGAAATTCAATATTTTGGTACTTAGGACTGTCTGTGTACTTGGGGTCTGGACTTGGGGATAAGCTCTCATTCCATCTGAAGCAGTACATACAGAAACTTCTCAAGGTAAATGAAGGGACGACGCTCTAACTAGTTCATTCTCAAAGAGAATGAAGGAAAGATGGAATCTTGTTCTGTTTCCTCTTCATTTTTTAGATCTTATCTTGCAGGTAAACATGGAGGGACCATATGGATCAGAGTGGCCGACGGAAGAGAAAGTGAAGCGAAGGAAATGGTTGCTCCAGAAGCACGTTATATATTTGTATATGAGGATACAAATGTAGATGGTAGTCAAATTTCTTCCATGCCAGAGAATGAGAAGAGTTCAAGTCATACAGATGCAATTGTTGGATTTGTACATTACCGATTTATTATGGAGGAAGAAGTACCAGTTCTTTATGTGTATGAATTACAGCTCGAAAGTCGTGTTCAGGGAAAGGGACTTGGGAAGTTTTTGATGGATCTAGTTGAGCGAATTGCCATCAAGGTACTTTATGTCCCTTTTCTAACCTTTTCTGTATTCTCAAAGCATTTCAAATCTTCATAGCATACAAATTCTGCAAATTTTAAAATAGAAAAGGTCCTGCTGAAAATGAAGTCAAGCATAACTTTGTATGCCTCAGGAAAAAAATATAAAATCAAAAATAGGAAAAGAACTTAGCTGTTTCACACATATGACAAGATATTCTGGCTGTGAGTGTAACTTATTATAGTGTTTAAAGTTGTTTATACTTGCTGTTAGTGTCTAACTCATGATCTGGGTTTTGCAGAACAGAGTGGGTGCTGTGATGCTTACTGTACAAAAGAAAAACTTATTAGCAATGAACTTTTATATGGCTAAACTTGGGTAAGCTTGAATGCCCTTTTCCAGTTTTGTTCTCATCTTGCATTTCCAAGGAGGCAAGCTTGATACCGATTAATCTGCTACTCGTATATTTAAGAAAAGAATCAGTGGAAGGCTTTCTCTCATGACATTTTGCTTATGTAGAACATGTAATCAGGCTACGGGCAATGGAAAGAACAAATTGAAGCTTAATTCATGTTTTCACGTGCATGAAAATGTTTGAATTGGCAGAATAGCCACTCCTGGGACTGTTGGAAAACTTTTATTTGTTTATTTATTTTTGTTTCTATTCCTGTTGGAAGATTTTTATTAGCTACAGCTGGCATTTTGTGTTTCCTTTGCTCTTTAAAACTACTTTGTAACCACATAAACTTTGTTAACTTGAAGAACCTTTGTATTGTGGAAGGTGTTTTCGATCTTCACCTGCCCTGTAGTTCATTTTTGGTGCATGAATTTTGCGGTTTTCATTGACATTTCTATAATTCTTATGAAAAAAATCACCACCTTCCAACTTTAACAACATAACTCTTGAGGAGCTAAGTTAGTCTTTTATTCTTCTCAACTCTTATAACTTCTTTTAGATAAGTGGAACAATGTAAACGCAAGCATTTGTAACTAGAAAAATCTAAAGGAAACTAGCATATCGTTCTTCTCTAAGAAAAAGTACAGTTATCAAAGTTTCTAGCAGCTTTATACTCCTTATTTCTTGGTTTTTCCAATGGTCAAAGGTTATATTCTTTCATATATCTCTTCTTACAGCTAAAGAATTCATTCTTTGGTGTTGGCATGACCAGGTACATTGTGTCTGCTATTTCACCATCGAGAGTCTATCCATTGGTATGTGCTCTTTCAGCTTACCTGCAATCTATTGTTCACTTTACATTCTAATACCCTCCTTTGATGCAGACAGGATTAGAGACAAGTTATGAGATTCTTTGTAAAGCATTTGAAGCTAAATCTGCATTTGAGGTTCGTACTTTCTCCCTAGCCATATGCTGTCTCAAGCAATGCTGTAGAATATAACTTATGGGTTCTGCTTGAGAGATAGTGAAGCATTCTATTCTGAAGCAAGTGTATTTGCATTTAAACATGTGAACAAGGGTTAAGGTTGGTGTAGTTAATTCTTCGTCAACTTCTGTTTCCTTGGTGTTTCTGAAAGACCACAAATTCGATTTAGCATATGTTAATGGCATTAGCTTTTGTTTTAATCTCGACACATCTTTCTCTAGGATAGAGATTGCAAGCTTAATTGTGACCCAGTTGCACTTAAATCATGGTTGAACATTGAATTATCTCAATTTAAGCCCGCTGTCCACTTGTAACCAATTTTTGTTCGTTCCATGAAGGAGAGCCAATGACTAGAGTGACAGCTTGACTGGAATTCCTTCAAGTTGCCTTGTTCTTTGTATCAAAGTTTCAACCTCATTCCTGATGGAAGATGAGAGGTTTGTCTAGAGGAAGCATGAAAAGTGCAATCTTCAGACAAGGAATTTATATCTCTTATAGGTCCATTTTAGTTTCTGCGTTTAGCAAAAGTGTATCATAATGTTATCAGAATAGCTTTTGTGTATCTTAGGGACATTTCAATGTTGTCCTCCTAGGTAATTTAAGGTTTTTGGCTCTGGATTAAACTTGAGACTGCATTATTCTATTACTGAGGGATCAGAAGATGAAAAAGCTATTGGAAAAGCATTGTTACAGCTCATTTCATTTCTCCCGGAATCTTGACTTCTAGTAATAAGCAATTTGGATGCATTTGTTTGATGACCACCAGTCCTGCTAACCGCACAAGGGCTGGAAATCTCCTTTGTTAAATCTTCCCATTTTAGTTAACTTCACAATTTTATGCTCAAATTTCTAGAGCATGTTGCAGTCTTTGGTGAAAACAAAACTCGGTTTTACCTTCTACCATTCAACCAGCAAGATTCTAGGTGGGCTTAGTTAGATTTATTAAGAAATTGGATGAGATATGCAACAAGGAACTGATCAATGTGTATCTGAAGTTTAACATTAAATTGATTCTTTAAAGAGTTTATGTATGATACAATCTTTTTTTTAAGAACATGGTGACATTTTCAGCGTCTTTCACTGATAGTTACATCATCTCGCCATCTTTCAAATGCAAATTGTACAATTCGATATCATCAAGAGGGATATTCGTTGTCTTGTACCATTTTTGTGCTCTAATATATAATGTATCACTATTTCCAACTATAGACAAGCTTAAATACAATAGCAAATTGACACAAAAACTTTTACGAGGTGCTTCATCATACATAATTACATAGTGCTTTTTTGGCAAAAAAAAAGAACATTATTGGTCCGGGTAAATGTAAATATGTGCTCGTGCTAACCGCAAATGTTACCTATGGGCTAGACAATCCAACGAGGAACCCCTGGTTCAGAAATACAAGATACTGGCGTGCGAAACTCTACAGGAATCTTGCCCAGACAACCCCAAGGCAATAGATATAAGAGCCATTTTGCCAAAAGAAAAACCAGGAATGCCAAATGCATGCGCAGACCATGGCAAGTTGCTGCAGTGCAGAACATAACAACAGAAGCCACAGTTATAAGATAAGAATCTACAGAAACTGAAAATTCCCAAGAAGAAACAGACATTTTTCTACATCCTTTTCAGCAGAGTGTTATACGATGTATGCTACAAATGGAAGCAGGTTTTTGAAGAATTCTTCCAAAACCTGATGGCCAGGCAAAGCAGATACATGGGTTTTCATCTGCCCAACACAAATCAATTTTCTCAGCCTTGAACTCTTCCCAAGGCAAAGCAAGTAATTAATGTCGAAATATTTGCAATATCACTACAGGGATTTTGGGACAAGTGAAAATCATCAATTCACATGTCAAATTCAGATATCCTGACCTAAAGATGCAATTTTATTAAGGTTTTATTCGCCTGCTTCACGGCACATCATCAATGAGCAAAGTTCCAAGAATGCTCATTGGTCAGGTGCTAGAACTCCACCTCAACCTACATCTTTGGTTCAACCATTCATTATTTCCTCCACAATTTCTTGTCTT